TTGATGGATACTTAGGTTGATTTCATATCTTGGCTATTGTGAATAATGCTGCAGTGAACATTGTAGTACAGATATCTCTTCAACATACTGATTTCATATCCTTTGGCTATATACTCGGTAGTGGGATTGTGGGATCATATGATAGTTCTGTTTTTAATTTTTTGAGAAGCCGCCATACTGCTCAAATAGCTGTACTAATTTATATTCCCAACAAGGGTATACAAAGGTTCTCTTTTTCCATTCCACATGCTCGCCAACACTTGTCATCTTTCATCTTTTTAGTAATAGCCCTTCAGACAGGCGTGAGGTGACATCTCATTGTGGTTTTAATTTGCACTTCCCTGATGATTAGTGATGTTGAGCATTTTTTAATGTAACTGTTGGCCATTTGTATGTCTTTTTTTGAGAAATGTCTATTCAGGAAAGTAGCCCATTTTTTAATGGGGTCATTTGGTTTTTTACTATTGAGTTGTTTAAGTTCCTTATATTTTGGATATTAACCCCTTATCAAATGTATGGTTTGCAGATATAATCTCCTATTCCACACTTTGTCTCTTCATTGTTGATGGTTTCCTTGGCTATACAGAAGCTTTTTAGTTTGATATAACCCCATTTGTGCATTTTTGCTTTTGTTGCCCACGCTTTGGTGTTCACATCTAAAAAATCATTGCTCAGTCCAGTGTTACAGAACTCCCCTGATACGTCATTGCTCAGTCCATTGTTACAGAACTCCCCTGATACATTTTCTTCTAGTAGTTTTAGTTTCAGGTTTGACATTTAAGTCTTTAATCCACTTTGAGTTGATTTTTGTATGTGATGTGAGATAAGGGTGTAATTTCATTCTTCCGCGTGTGAATAACTAGTTATCTCAACTATTTGTTGAAGAGACCATCCTTTCCCTGTTGTGTGTTCTTGACATATTTGTCAAAAATCTATTGACCACAAATGCATGGATTTATTTCTGGGCTCTCTATTCTGTTCCAGTGGTCTCTGGGTCTGTTTTTATATGCCAATACTATGCCGTTTTGATTACTATAGCTTTGTAGTAGATTTTCAGATCAGGTAGTGTGAT